TCTATCTATCTATCTATCTATCTATCTATCTATCTATCTATCTATCTATCTATCTATCTATCTATCTAGCATCTCAGAGTCGTGGTGCTTAGTGGTCAGATTCCAGTATTTCAGGCTAATTCAGCTCACTGCTAGCAGTTCGATGCTAACTGGCTCGAGGTTGACTCGTCCTTCCATCCTTCCGAGGTCGGTGAAACAAGGACCCAGTTTGTTGGGGGCAACAGGCTGATTCTGTAAGCTGCTTAGAAAGGGCTGCAAAGCACTGTGAAGAGGTATATAAGCACTGTTGCTATTGCTGTAACTCTGGCTTACCTTATTGGCACATGGGCTACTCGTATTCTTTGGGATCTGCCCAGAATAAGAGCGGAATAGAAAGGAAACTCTTGTTGTGTTGTGGAGGAAGTGAGGCTGTCACCTACACCAAGGGGCCAGTATTGGGCTGCCTGGCAAAATCCTGGCTCTGTGTGGTCAGTAAGAGGTTGTGGCACTTAAAGGAGGGATGCTATTTCCGTTGTTTGTTGGCCTCTCAGGGTAATAAAACAGAACATTGCTGAATCAGGAAGTGCATGTTCTCTACCCTGGCAGCTGCTCTTTGGAACAGTCTCTCCCCAGAGGTCCAGGTAGCTCTCATCCTTGTGATGCTCTGGAAGGCTTTGCAAATTGGATGCACTCCCAGGCATATTTCTTCATGTTTTGTTTCCTTTCTTTTTATTGCGGGATGCTTGGTACTCTCTGAGCTTGGTGGTTTTCTTGCAGACATTTCATGACCCAAGTAGGTGACATCATCAGTATATCGTTTCTTCTTCTTCTTCTCTCAGCTGCTCTCAAATAGTTCTGAAGTTGTATGGCATCTTGTGTTTCCCCGAAAATAGGACCTACCCCCCCAAAATAGCCTGATTTTTTTAAGTGTGCCTAATACAAGCCCTACCCCCAAAATAAGCCCTACTAAACGTAGGTGGGCGTGGCCAGCACAGGAGGCAGTGAGCACAAGTGGCCGACCGTGCAATGCAGGTGTGTTGTAATCAGGTGGGGGATTACCTGTCCAGGCAGCAGGCGGAGGCAGAAAGAGAGGGAGGCACATGCCACAGGAAAGCTGAGAGTCAGGCCAGCTGCAGGAGGCTCATCTTTGCGTCTCTTGGCTTGCCTTCCGTCCCGTGCCTCTGCCTCTATCTGCTGCCGGTGCCGAGGCGGGAAGACGAGCCTCCCACAGCCACCCCGCCCGCTCCAGCTCACCAACTTAGCTTTCCTGTGGCCTGTGTGGTGCATCTGGATCGCCTGTCTGCCGCCACTCCCCCCAGCACCTCTGCCTCCGTCTCCTGCTTGGACAGGGAATCAACTCACCTGTGGTGTATGGGCTGCGCACTCCAGAGTGCGCCAATCAAGGGACCGGCAGGCTGTAGCTGTGCGCATGCTGGGTGTGTGTGTGTGTGTGTGTGCCCAGCCTGGCTGATCACCCTGACATTACGTATCCTCGAAAATAAGCCCCAGTGCTTATTTTGGAGCGCCCCCCCCCAAAATATAAGACTGGGTCTTATTTTTGGGAAAATACAGCACTTTTAGAAAGCAAGGCAGCAGCTTAAAGCTAAGATCGGGTTTTTATTTCTACATTGATGCAAGTTTTATTTTTTTCAAAGCCGAATATTTTATGAACTCTCAAGTGCTTTCAAACGGTTTTCTCAGAAGCTCCGCCTCAGACTTGTAATATGTTTTCTAGTTTAAGTTTGAGCTCATGGCCATTTTTTTTTTTGACAATGGACAAACTGGACCTCAAGCCAAGTTCTTCTTTCTTTTTGACTACTTTCACTTTAAAGATGCAAGGGAGATGAGGAGTGCCAAAATGTAATGGATCAATACATAGAAAAGTAGGTGGATTGTTGGGTGGAAGAGAGAGACCCGGGTATAGTTTGAAAGCAGTGCAAGTTTTATTTCACGCTACCTCTACAAGAACCTGATCTACTAATGGGCATGGAAATTTGTGCCAGGTAAGAATCAGTGGAATTCAAAGTGGGCTGGATTTAGATCTCTTGTTGGAGCAAAGATAGACTTAGGACATGCTTGACCCCTCCCTCGGGCTCAGCCTGGTCCTCTCCTACAGTGAGGGATGAATAGAGAGATAGGTGCAGATAGAAGAGGTAGGTATAGTTAGAAGAGATAGGTAGATAGGTAATAGATGACAAAAAGGTAAAAGTAGGTAGGTTGTATTAGCAATAACACATAGACTTAGATATCACTCCGTAGTGCTTTACAGCTCTCTCTAAGCGGTTTACAGAGTCAGAGTCAGCACATTGTCGTCGTCCCCCCCCCAACAATCTGGGTCCACATTTTACCAACCTCGGAATGAGAGAAATCTGAGTCAACCTGAAGATTGGCAGGATTTGAACTGCCAAATTGCAGTCAGCTGGCAGTCAGCAGAAGTAGCCTGCAGTCTAACCACTGCATCCCTGCAGCTCTAGATAGGTAGATAGATGACAGATAGATGGATGGATGGATAGAAGGATAGCTAAAGGGATGGATAGAGGGATAGGGAAGATAGAGGGATAGATAGATACAGTAGATGAGGGATGGATAGATAGAGGGATAGGGAAGATGGATGGATAGATTAGAAAGATAGATGATAGATAGATGGTAGATGGATGGGTGGATAGAAGGATAGATAGAGGGATAGATAGAGGGATAGGAAGATAGATACGGTAGATGATAGATGGATAGATAGAGGGATAGGGAAGATGGACAGATTAGAAAGATAGATTAGAAAGAAAAAGATAGATGATATAGATAGAGGATGGATGGATGGATGGATAGATGGATAAATAAATGCCTGGCTGAAGGCTTCCACTTTGACTTGGGAGCAGCACCTGTGTTCTGCCTTCCCCTCAAATGCTCCCTTTCTTTACCTTTTCTTAGGTGACTCACCAAAGTTTCCTGACCTCTCAAGTGCCCAAGACCACCACCACCAGCAGCTGCGCCAAAGGGCCCGGCATCTTCTCCTATGGGGACGTGCTGCAGGACCTGCCCCCCAGAGAGCGGGAGTGTCTGGAAATCGCCGTGGGCATGGGCTATTCGTACGAAGAGGTCTTGAAAGCGATGAAGCGGAAGGGGCAGAGCATAGAACAGGTAAGAGCGGGGAGACCCACGCTCTGCGCGTCCCCCTGGGAGAAGGCAGCGAGGGCTGGGGCTTGAGTGCTCAGAGGTGTGACGTCCCCCGTGTGTGCCTTGTCCTTTTGGGCTTGAAAGACTTAGCAGCAGGTCCCAGAGCTTCTGGGGCTTTGAGGGAGGGGGGGCAGCCTAGGAGATCACAGGTAGCCCTCCACTTACAACAGTTCAAGGTTACGAAGGCCCTGAAAAAAAGTGACCCCTTACGATCATTTTTCAGTTGCGACCGTTGCATCGTCCTTATGGCCCTGTGATCAAAATTCTGGCGCTTTGCAACCCATATTCCGTTTCCCGGGTCCTGTGATTTGATCCCCCCCTTTTCCAACTTTCTGGCAAGCAAAGTCAAGGCGGGAAGCCAGATTTACTTAACAACCGTGTCACTAACTTCGTTACTGCAGTGAATCACTTAGCAACTGTGGCAAGAAAGGTCGTAAAATGGGGCAAAACTCACTTAACAGCAGAAATTTTGGGCTCAGTTGTGGTTGTAAGTCAAGGGCTAGCTGTATTAGTTACCTATTTGTTTAATTATATCCCACTTTTATTACTTTTTATAAATAACTCAAGGCGGGGAACATAGCTAATGCTCCGTCCTTCTGTTTTCCCCTAACCGGTGAGTTGAGCTGAGAGAGAGAGGGACCGGCTCCAAGTCATCCAGCGGCCTTTTAATTGTTTTCAATTAGACTTGAAGAACAAGCATCTGAGCTCCTTTCTCTCTGGATTCTCTGTGTGTAGATTCTGGAATACCTGGTTGTCCATGGGCAACTCTGTGAGAAGGGCTTTGATCCTCTCCTGGTAGAAGCTGCTCTCGAAATGCGTCAGTGCTCGGAAGAGAAGGTGAGCATTCATTGGTATAGCAATAGCCCGTAGACTTCTATACCGCTTCACAGAGCTTTCAGGCCCTCTCTAAGCGGTTTACAGAGTCAGCCTATTTGCCCCCAACAATCTGGGTCCTCATTTGACCCACCTTGAGCCGGTCAGGATCAAACTGCTGGCAGTGGGCAGAGTTAGCCTGCAATGCTGCATTCTAACCACTGTGCCACCATGGCAGATGATAGATAGATAGATAGATAGATAGATAGATAGATAGATAGATAGATAGAT